ATTGTCATTTTAAAATGGATTCCCAAATTTTAACATTATTATCTCGTGAAGGCATGTTAACCATAAAATTTCCGATAACTTCAAGTTACTTCATTAACAAAGTCAACCTTGGGGATGTGGTAATTGTTTTTAAAGTCAATGGTCAAATTTTCTATCTAAAAGTCTGTTCTGTTCAGGAGTAATTTTGAGAATTGATTTTTTGACCGTTAGAAGAAAAGTGGAGTCCACCTATGAGAGAAGAAGTCAAATATGACGGCTGAAATAGTGAAATTACGATCAAAAATCAATTTTTTGGGAGAAAAAATCACTACCAAATATGCTCTAAATTTTGACGGAATTCTTCGTCTTTTAAGGAGAATTTGTGTTTTTTTAGAAGCCAATTGCTTTTAAAAGGCGATAAGATGGAGATTTTGGCATTATTTTGGTCAAAAAGTGCTTCTCGTTCAAAGATAGGTACCTCGAGTCTAGTAACTAGGATTAAAATAATATAACTCTAGCATTTTTGAGTAATGTTTCATAATTCGAGAAAGGATTGTGGCAAGAGAGAGTAATAGATAAGATGATTGCTACTACACATTGGCGTGGTACAATTTATGTGTTAGCGGCAATGACTTCGATGAGCTAGTGAAGTCCATTCGGAGTCGTGCAGATTAAGCATTATGGGGCACCACTGATAAAGACGTTGCTGGTGGAAGACTCAGAATAGTACTCTTCCTTCTGTGATCAACATAAAATTTGGTTTAGTTGTGCTGTGTTACTTTCCGTAGTCGGCAGAGAAAAAATCAAACTTTCTCATACCCTCGACTTTCGAAAAGTGTATAGCATAACTTTCCTATTCTCCATTAAAACACGTAACAGTAGGATTCAAACAATATATACTGTGAAAAAAGAAATAAACACAAATTCTAAAACCATTAAATCAATCTTTCAAAATCAGTACTGTAGTTCAATTGGACTTGGGATTGTATTATCCGCAAAACCCTTTTTCATGCGTTGTTTGGATGCCGATTTCCAAGCTAAACAGACATACAGAGGCAAAAAACTTTTCGAAATAGAGTATGAATAAGAGTTAGCAGAAAAGGATACACTTATCCTGCTTTTGTATTCAAGATATTGGTGGTAGGCACTGATACTAGTGCTAATAAACCAAATGTCCATGGAAAATAGTTTTTACTAATAAAGTCCATGAATAGCAATGAATTAGGTGAGTATTCTGATAAATTATTAGTAACTTTTTAGGATGATTAGTACTGAGTCACACAGAATATGTGGTTAATAAATAGGTAATAATTGTTAATGTGTGATTGAAATTAATGTTTGAATTTAACAAGTAGAAAAATAACTTTCAAATTTACACGAACATAGACTAAATCTTGCACTGAATAATTGGTGTCGGCTTTAAGAATCATTTTTCACTACTTAGTTTTATTGCTAAATTTTGTCAAATTAGTTTTAATCTCCTAATATATGCTAGTGAGACGACTGCGTTATCTATTATGATCAAGTCCCTCTTTACGTCTACACAAAGCATGCCATAATCACTAAAGTCTTCCTTCCATCAATTTACTCGCAATCAGTGTCAACTCGCCTCCTTGGTGCATATTCACGTCTCCAAAATTCATGATTAACCAAAAACCTTATTATATTGAAATGAAGCAGCTTTACAACTCTTAAAAAGTTCCACCCTGTGGTGTTAATTAATATAAATTATGGTATAGAACAAGATCTAATCTATGATAAACTAACTGATGTCTTTCAATTAATAGGAAGCACCATAGGCAAAAATATAAAATAAAATCCTGTAATTCGAGAGTTTCTTATGTAATTTTTTTCCATGAATTTGACTCTGCTTCTACCTTTAAACTCATCTTTGTTGGCCAAAATTTGAGGAATAAGATTAGCTGCCTTTCACGAGTACAATCATGAAATTTAGTTTACAAATCCTAAGTTTAACACTTAGGAGCGACAGAGTTATCTCTTAAAAGCAGTCAAGTCAACCTCAAAAGAACAATAACAACCTCATCAAAACAAGATTATCTTTCAGACTCACCGGGAAACTTGCAACCTCTCAGACTAAGTGGCTGTTGCCCTCTGATTGAACTTCATTGGTAGAAAAATGGAAAGAGGATAAAGGACTACCTAATCATTAAATTGAATTTCAGCTGTCGGCTTCTGACTTTAGAGAGTCTGGATCCAAGTTACAGACGATATCCATTTGGCTCTTATCTGGGATCTTCTCTTTCCATACTCTTGTGATTTGGAACTGGCAGCAGATTATTCATATCAGAACATTGTTTAAGGGTTGATAAACATCCGGGGTTCAAATAAGCTCACATTTGAACTTGGGGCCAATGTTGGCAAAGTCACTGGTGAAACATTATCAGGAAGGGAGTAAAAAGAGCGCATTTCAATAGTATCTACAGTGGCTGCAATTCCTTCTTGTGAATGATGGATCTACATAGAAAAGAACTAAGATTAAGCTCAAAGGTAGCACTTAAGCAAACAATATTATTTCTTTGGTAATCTTTACATATGGATATAGACGAGCTAATACATACATCTTCTAATAGAAATTGATCAAGTCCAGATTTTTGTCTAGGATCCACAGCAGCAAGCTTCGTGGACAAAAACTTCACAAACAAGAAATTCAGCATTCATGTCAGTATTGTTGTACTTGGCTTTGCATAGCAGCACAATGATCGGCAACTAGTTTTTCTAAGTTAATCGAAGATGCCGGCAAGGATGGGAGCCAGTGGCTACATGTGATTGAATTGATGGTCATTTCCACTACAGGCAATCACTATAACCCCCCAGAGAGGGGATAAGGCTAAGCAGATTGTGCTATCTACCTATCTTTGGCGAAGTAATAACTCTGGACACTGCTAAAGATTTTTAGATTGGATATAAAATTGAGTTAACTAGGAAATGAGCTGCCACAGAGCTATCCTATAATCAGTCAGACACAATTTCTCTCAATGCCAAAAGGAACATTCTTTTAATGAATTTTAGTATCCCTCATAAAGGCCTAGTAATGATTCGGACACGTTAGCATTTCAGAGAGTGTTGATGCCTAATCTTTGGATCTGAGAGAGCATACCTCAACCTGATGTTGCAATGATAATACATAATTGATAATCTCATCAAGCATTATTGCCTTCCCAGTGATCTGAAAGGAATGCGCCAATTGTTAGTTACGTTAAAAATGAAGGATCTCCGGGGAAGTCCTTTCTAAGTTCACCTTATCGCATCCAGGAACAAGATCTTGAAGAACTTTCATTCGTTCGCTTATTCTTTCTCTTCTAATCTGCAACACCCGCATTGAGATTAACCAATCTACAAAGTAAATGTGTAAAATCAAGAAAATAGAAAAACATCAAGTAAATCATACTCTTTCAGCAAGACTGTGTGCGCTAGTTGCTTCGCCTCGTTTTGCCCTCACCTGTACGTGATCTTTGTTCCTATCTTCTGTACTATTCGTTGAACATATTGTGGCATTGGGAGCTTTCTTACTATTGGACTTGTGTATAGATCTTTTTCCAACTATTTTACTGCAACTTTTGGCAACTGATTTGTGTGCTAACTTATCCTCATCTTCATATTCAGCAATTTCATTCCTCACGTGCTTAACGTCTGAATTCTAATCATAAGAACAGCAAATTATAAGATTGTCTTCAGGCGAAAATCAATTTAACAAAGAAATACAGAAGTATACAAAGATACCAAGGAAATTGATGAAATCACTAGAGAGTGTCTAACCTCTGCGGGAGTTAACCCAGATGCATCATCAAATCTCTTCCTTTTCTTATCATCGGGCGAAAGGTTCAAGCTATGTCTCTGAAATCTTTCTTGAAATTGCACACTACCACAACTGGTACTTAAAGATCTACACCTAGCCTCGTGACCCCTTCCTGCAGAGGAGCAATTGGATGGATGAACAGAATCAACAATTTGAGGGGTGTTGTTCTGATAAAACAAGCCGCCATTCTTGACACTTCCACTGCCAAAATCAGCAACTTTAGGCTCTAGCTCAACGACATCGCCATCTAACTGATATTGGAAAATGTAGTTCTCACTACTCCATACTCGATTTTCTGGCACATCACTATAGGAGCTTCTATTGACCTGATCACAATAAGCAACTGAAGTTTGGGTTTCCTCTTTCTGCAACAGGTAAACTAGTGAATTTGGATTACCAATGGAACATACAGGCTCTCCAACCAGAAGTTCATCATTAAGCACTGAACCCATTGTCATTCCAAGAATTTCACCAGTGTTCGATATCACAGAATATGAACCATCCAGATGGTTTTTATCTGTGCTCTCAACCTTCAATTCAAGAAAAGAACTACAATAAAAAAAACAAATTAGGAGATAACAATTCCAATTGAAAGTATTGAACTGTCAATAGAAGTCTGTAAGAACATTATTACAGAATATTATGGAGGGTTTGACTATTAGCTGGAAAAAGAATCTGTTATAGAACTGACTAAGCAAGGAACAAACATCTTTGGCAGCTTTATCAAGCCCAGAGAAGGTGAAAGAGAAAAAGAAATTACACAGTTCCGATATTTATCGATACATCAAAGAGAAAAGAATCCAATGCAATTTAACACAATCAGCTCTTAAACTCTAAAACCCTAGAAAATCCAATTCTCAGCAGACTGCGAGAGTTCTTTTTATTTTTTATTTTTTGGTTTCTATAACATGAGAAAATGTAAAAAAACTATAGGTATTCATTAATTATTTTATGCAAATAATGATAAAGAATAAACTGATAATAGTAGTAAACCTTCAAAATGCGAAACCAAGAATTTTTCTAGAGATGGAGAAGCGAAGTTTCCAACGATTTTCAGAATAATTTCTGTAGACTATGAAATTACAAATGGTAGACCAAATGGGGTTTGAGTATTCTTGACAAATTTCTCCGGAATATTTAAGGGGACTTGTTCATTAGAATTTTATAGAATTTTGGCGATTTAAAATGTCTGTATTTATTTGAGATTTTTAAAATTTCTTTACGTATATTCAATTGGGATTTTTTAAAAATATTTTTAAAAGTTATGGGATATTCGTTGGATTTTTTTAGAATTATATAAGTCGTGGACTTGAAGTATTTAAAAAGAGAGTGACTTTTCCAAAATTCTTTATTTATTGGACTTCTGGAGACTTTTTGGTGAAAATTTTAATTAGCAAGTTTCAAAGAAAATCTCTTGTATATTCTGAGATTTGTGAGGATGTCGAAACCAAAATAACATCTTTTTCTTTTAATTTTATGATTTTTTTCATATCTCTTTTACTCGTAATCAATTTATGATTATTCTATATATAAATAATTACTTTTGAATTAAAATTATATGTAATTGTTTCAAAACGTGAAACTCAATGTAATCGATCTATTCTTTATCCTTTCCTTTTCTTTTCTTTAAAAAAAAAAAAACAATTTATGTTCTTAGAAAATTATGTCAAATTCATGAAAAAATTTTAATTATGTTCTTAGAAATTGATGTAAATTTTTATTATTATTTTATTTGAGCCAATTGAAGGCTAGATGACTAGTGACTTTAACGAAAAAAAACTTGTTGGCATTATAGTTCTCAAAAATGTTAATTCGATAATAAGAAATATTGTAATTTTTAAGGTTAATAATAAATTTGCAAAATAAAAAGTCTTTAAATTCTTTAATCAAAATCTACAAAAGTCCATTAAAAACTTTTATTACCTCTTAATAAATTTATAGAAATCTATAAAATTCACAAAAGAAAAACTTGTTGGCATTATAGTTCTCAAAAATGTTAATTCGATAATAAGAAATATTGTAATTTTTAAGGTTAATAATAAATTTGCAAAATAAAAAGTCTTTAAATTCTTTAATCAAAATCTACAAAAGTCCATTAAAAACTTTTATTACCTCTTAATAAATTTATAGAAATCTATAAAATTCACAAAAACCGTCCACTTAAAAATGTATATAAAAGTCTTTAAAAATTCCAATTGAATACACTCTCTTAGATTTTGGTTAAATCCACTAATAGCCATTCAAATTTACACTTAGCGTTATTATGACTACCGATTTTGATCTTGTTTTATCATTGCCATCCAACTTTATACATAGTACCATCACAGCCACCTAATTTAATTTAATTTTATTATGGTTACCCAATTTCATATATCGTTTAACGATGGCATCCAATTTCATATAACGTTTCACCCTGTTAACCCAACTTCTCTTCACCCTTTTTGCATTATATATATTAAATAAATTTGAAAAAATAAAATAAAAACTTATTTTTAAAAAATAAAAATAAAATAAAAGCTTATTTTAAAAAAAAGTTACTTTACAATAAAAAAAAAAAGAATAAAAATAAATTAAAAATAAATGTTACTTAAAAAATAAAAAAAAA